TGGAAAATTTAAGGAGTTATTATTATGTACGTTTAGATGATACAACCGGTAGGATACTTTTGCACGTTACTGTATCTCCCATACAATTAGGCGTTCCCAATTCAAGGTTGAGATTTTTTTACTGGTAATGTTCGATTAATGAAGCGTGTTGTTTCACATGTTAATTCATGATTTTCTTCATGTAAATTCTTCGTATTTTGCCTTGCCTGAATTCCTCACATATTACGGACTGAATCTACGCGAATTAGAAATCGTCATCTGCATGCAAGACGTCATCGAGAATTTGAGAAGGGATAGAAGTCAACTTTGCCAGAAACTGATTATTATCCTCTTACTGTAATTAACAATCTATCGAAAGGTAGAATAAAGATATATCAAAAGCTAATAAATGATTCATCAAATTTCTTTTTGATAATGTTTGCTTGGTAATCATCATAATATTAGGATGTTCATTTCTGCTTGTAGAATGTGGTTCCTTACATTGAAGTTTGCTCCCAAACTAGTTAATTCTCTATGACTACTTGTAATCAACTATCTTATTTTTGAATGTTGTAATAGTAAGTAATGTAGAAAGTCATGAATACATTATTAGTACAGTGTTGTTATACTACAAAAATGAGCGCCAACCAAGAAGCACGACTTGTTTATTCACGAGCCTGAATGACCAAAAATATGCTTACAAAAAAAGATGGATATCTGGTTTGACCAACATTTTGATATTTCTTGGAAGACCAGGTTACGTTAGAACGTACTGTTGTTTAATATTACATTTAAAGGCCAAGAGACATTCAACCCTCGACTTGATAAACCGAATCTGTGGCGCTCGATTATTAATGACGCCTGCAAATGCACTGTGGCGTCACGTTCATTCATCTGGTTCTATTGCATAAAAAAGCACCAGTTATTATGTAAATGGTTTGCTAATGATTGCCACATACCAATTTTGAAATTATTAAGAGTCACCTTGCTTGATGCTGAGTTTATAACTCTGTTCAAAGAAATGATTTGGATGTTCAATTGTATCCATCATTCCTCGCTCGCCACCTCTTGTTATTTCGTAATATCGCGTACAAGCAACTTGGTAATGCTTGTTTCTTACTAGATTAATAATCTCCCTAACATAAGCTTCATTTCTCACTCCTACACTTGCAAAAGTTACACGTAGGCTTTCTTCTGAAAAATGCCGAAAAGGACATCCGTGGTGTTCCCCCGGTCCTGGTTGGTTATTATTAATAATTTTGCTACAACTGCCATTGGTTTCGGAATGAGCAAAGTGAACAAGTAATTCAACAGTCAGCATTAGACTCGGGACATACGTACTTGTATGGAGTATAGTTGACACGCTTTCCTTCCATGCCATAGTTATGTCTTACATTATAGGCATAATTCTTTTGAAATTGTTCATCAGTATACTTTGAGAACGACTTTCGCCAAAATACAAGTGCTTCCTCCAAAGGAAGACCAATTCCCTACGAAAAGCGACTGTTAGCACAAAGATATTACACTAATACACTGGTAATTATACGATTACAATAGTAAATTTTAAACCTTGAGAAAAAGATTATATTGCATTCTACCGTAATGCTTCAGATGTTTATCGTCGCGTAACTTTCGATGTAGATGTCTCATGCATAGCGGGAAGTGTTCAACGAGCTGTCGGTAAATATAATTAACGTTAGTGTTTATCAACATGCCAAGATACTCACAGTATAGACCATTACCTTATCTACGTCAAACGCAGTTATATTTCCAGTAACTTTTGTGGAGTTGGCAAAGCTATTTCCTAAATAATATCTATTAACATTATTAAGTATTGGCATAATCCTGTCATCCTCGTCAAGTTTAGGGAACTCTTTCGCGGTGATCTGCAATCAAACAAGTGTCAATTCTTGACAAAATTTAAGACTTGAAACTATATAAAATCATGTTATACCTCGAGGGCTTTTGCCAATCTATTTTTGAATTCATCCATAACAAGTGTTGCTTGATCAGACATGGGTACATATGCTGTGCCTCCACGTAAATAAACAGAACGACGTGCTACCATGTCGAGCACTTTTTCAAACTCAACCTATATCCATGTACTCTCATAACTTAGTATGGTCTTTGCGTCACGTAGACAGATTGAATGCTGAAATACCTCAAAGAATGTCTCTGTATCGACATTAATATGCGGAGACACAGCTTGTAGGTCTGCCTTCATCACTTCTCTATCCGATCGACTTAACTTTGAAAGTCATAGGAAAGAAAACATGTTTGATTATAAGCACAAGCCACATCGACACGGAAACTCGTTTAAGCTTACGGTTTTCCACGTCAAATTTTGATGGCTCAAAAACTCTTGTCTTTCCTTAACCGCTACTGTTAGATATCTCAACCTGTAGAGTATAACTAATGTAAATCAATGAAACTGCCGTGAATCTAATGCAAATTGATGCAACGTACTTGAACAGTATGTATTCGTATCTAAGAAACCATGATCGTAATTCTTCACTATAATAAAGTAAATCAGTCGATAAAATCAAAGTCAACTCTCCAAACTCGCTCGGATTCGAGATGTAGTCAACCTCCTACAATAAGCCAATCGCAATATAAAATGGGACACGTGATCCTTGCGTCTCTCTTCTTCAAGCGGATAAGCTCGTTCGGAATCGTTAGAATGCATAGGAAGATACTGCTTAGAAAGTTCTTGGAGATGCTCTTTAACTTCATTTTCTGGTTTGCGGCGTAATGTTGCTGCTTCCAGAGCTTTCAAGACTATTCACGTAGTAAAGAAATGTAACAAATACACAAAATCGTCTAAAATACTTTATTGCGTTATCTGTGTATTTCTGAGTATATTGCATACCTTGTAATCTGTCCAAAGCAAATTTCTCAAATTCCTCTATACTAATATTGTCCGTTGGCGGGATATCGTAAAAGTTAAGATAGTGTGGATAACGCTTGTTGTTTCTTTTAACCTCACCAGTTCCATATTCATGTATAGGAGTTGAACTATGATGTCTAAGCATTGTCTTAAAAAGAATGTCTTTTTCGCTCTCTGAATACGCGTCTCTTAGTCACGAGCATTGCAGATCGGGTGACCATGTAGTCACATGATACATGTTTTCTTTTTCTACCCGTTCACGTTCTTCCGTTCCCTGCCCTAAAGGCCTAATTCCAATATCACGTGAAGAACTTGAAGTTGAGCTGGACTACTTCCTTATTCCTCAGCACCAAGCCCGTAGTTACTCTGCCACCACCTCCAGAATTGTCATTTCGAAGAAAATTAATAGCCACGGATATAGAC